AGAAAATAAAGAGAGCAAAATGAGAAATGGTACGAGCATTTATCATGGAAACAATCTGCTTACTCATTATGGAAAGTCACAAATCTATCCCCAGGTACAGATGCAGACACAAGAGACACTCCAAAATACAAACACAGTAAAGCTGGTTTCACATCCTGTGATCACTTCTATGAAGGTTGACAAATCTTTACATTATTTCACAGAAGTCCTGTCATTCTCTGCTTGGTTGTGTCATTTAATTTTCCTTTATTTTACTCGCACTGTTTTTTACTCAAATTCCCTCAATTTGTTACAAAGGAAACATACGGAAATTCAACACCTCTATATTCAATTTTGGAAGCTACTCAGTAAAAAACCGAGAAGGGCAGAGACAGCAGAGGAAATGACGAGCACAAACAAGAACTATCAGTAAGGCCATTCCATCCTAGAGCATCATTCACTACAGGAGGCAAGAGTTTGACAGAAAAAGATGATGCCAAATAATATAATTTTAATATTTCAATTTGTAAAAACCCAAGGATAAATAATGTTGCACAAGCAGCTGTACTAATCTGTCACTGGCAGCTTTTTTGGATGTAATCTCCAACAAGATTGTCGAAGAGAGATGCCATGTATATTGACGGTCACCTGCAACTGCTCTGGAGTTTGCAGAGACGTCAGCTGTGGGCAGAAGTAACAAACACCCAGCCACAGGAGACCACTGAACTTCAGGGTTAGGAGAGTTCAGGAAGAGCCACCAAACGAGTAGACAACAGAAACTTTCACTGGGGAACAATAAGGGGCAAAGGGCGAAGAGAAGATAGCGTGTTTACTTTCATAACATCCTTTTGACCGTAACTTGCTGATTCAGCCAGAAAAGGAACTCTTCTGGGCAGTATCAAACGGTGCAGATTAGCACTTATCACTCATTAACAAGTACCATACTGCAAGGTTACACCTCAGTTTCTCTCAGCTAACTCATTTGTGTCTATGCCCCAGCCAACACACAGTTAATATCACAGCAGGACTGTGTTTCATGGAAGTAGGATTTAATCATGAAAACCTACACCCAGACCTAGATGAATCAAGGACACAGGACATGAGAGACAGAATTTGCACAGCTCTTTTTTTCCTTTTATTCTGACACATGTTGGCCAAGTCAATGCCTTCTGAGATATGCTCATTTGTCTCTGACTCACTGAAGTCATGGATGCTTTTCTCAGACCAAGATCTGTAACTGGAATTTGGTGCCAACGGCAATAGGAAGTGCTGGTCTGGACCTTACAAAGCTTACTGAAATCAACTAGAAAATAAGGAAATTTCTTAGTTATTAAAGGAAGTCAGGCTCTTGCTTCAATTCTCCACTTTTTCTACCTCTCTTATCATAGACAGCTTTTCCTGAAGTCCTCTGAAAAATGCTTCAGTTAAGCACTGCCTGCTAATAGAGACCTCAGAGAAGTTACGTAAATGAGTCAGCACGGAGAACACTAAGGAAAAAAAGAACAGCATTACTGACATCACTTAATTCCTAAGTACCTCATTCAAACTTGTTCTCCAATTTATCAATAATTATTAAACACATTA